ACTTTACATTCTTTTTATTACATTCTATAGTTTATCTTAATGTTACATAAGTTCTTCTTTTATATAATGAGTATTTTATAATAACATTTAAGAAGCAATTTGTCATTCTTGTTTCTATGAGAAATATTATTGTCATCAGTATACACCATCTCAGGGTTTTGGGGGAATAAAAGAGAATACCTCTAATGCCACATACCCAGCCCCAGGCTTATCAGGAATTCTCCCAGGGAATTCAGCAGCCACCCCACAGTCATGTTTGCTCCCTCTAGTTCTACACTGCAGCCAGACTGATCTTCTTTAAAGGCATATTTGATTATGTCACCCTTTTGCTTGAAACATTTTAATAGTGTCTCATCAATCTCAGATAAAGACCAAAATGCCAAGGATGGCCCACAGGGCCCTGTGTTGGTTCTGTCTCCAGGCTCATCTTGTTATCCCCCCAAGCCCGCCATGCTCCATATCCTTGGTTCCTCCAACTTGTACTCTCAAAGGTGCTGTTTTCTCTGTCTAAGTGTTCTGTTGCCACCCCAAGCACCACTCCCCAAGCACCACTCCCTGCCTGGGTATATATTTTCATTTCTCTTGAGTAAATACCCAGGAGTAAAATTGTTATGTTCTATGCTAAATGTCTGTTTAACCTTTTAAGAAGCTTTCGAATGGCTTTTCCAGAATGGCTGTACCATTTTGCATTTCCATCAGCAGTATATGAAGATTCCAGTTGCTTCGAATTCCTTGCTAGCACTTGACATTGGCAGGCTTTGTTATATGCTGTATTTTTAGCAAACATAGAATAATATCTGATTATGAGGTTCTGCTAAAATGCATGAAAGATGAATAACTTCTTTGAATTCATTTTAGTGACAGCCTTCTAGTCTAAGTTATCTCCCACTCATCCTCCAAGCCTTCCTAGTAATAACCTTTAGCCAAGCTGCTAGGAAAGCACATGGGGATTTAACATGCTTAACCACAGAGTTTGTTTTTCAGACTGAATTGATAAGAGTGCAGCAGCTTCAAAATCTTACCTTAACATCACTACAAAGCTCAGATTTAGCCCTAACATCACTTCTCTGTTAGAATCAAAGTGGTGAGTGTGAAGGCCACATGTGTGGAAATGTCACAAAGGTCATAGTCACAGAGGGCAGGAAGACTTCCAGGAACAGGAATACTTTTGAAGGTTGGTTAACATATTTTCCAGATCAACTGCTAGTTTAACTCTTCAGAAGACTGCCAGTGAATTCTCTTTTTGGTCCTTAATGTAAAATCAACATGTTGGTAAACACTGCAAGATGCAGGCACTTTTGACAGTTGTAATTTGTGATACAGATTATAAGTGTGGCTATTATGCCAATTAAATGGCTGGCATGCAAATTAGAGGAGTGTTCTCCAGCCAATTTGCTTTTTATTTCATCAGAATATTCCAGTGAGAATGCTTTTGACTAGAAGGTAATAGAAGACTGGCTCTGAAGCTAGCCTTTGCTAAGGTAACATATTAATGAGTCATCAGAAGCTATAAATAGAACTCAGCATGAACTTCTGTCCACAAGTACACCACTATTCCCACAAAAAAAAAAAGCTGTTACTAATGACAGAACATGGCCTGCTAGCCACTATTACAGCCAGTGGGGAGGAGGGACACGGACCCAAAGAACCACAGTCTTGTGGGAAATGTGCCTTGAGGTACAATTTGCCAAGATGTCATATGTGCTTTCTTGGTCTTTCTTGTAGCCTCTGAAGCAGTTGTATTGTTTTCCTAAGGGATCATCATTGTGTATGTTAGCCAAGATTTTCAAATTCTCTCTCAGATGATAAATCCCAGACAACAGCTGCCTTAAGGCAATTATTTATCTTCTTTTTCTTTGCCTATTCCACTCTCCTTCCTAGTATATAATACAGTTTTTCATATAACATGGTAGCATATACATAAGAGGGCTCCTTAATTATCTATTGGATGGATGGATGAGTATGCTAGCTCTGTATTTTCATATAGGACTCTCGAATTTTTACCTTTCATATATACAAGTCAATACATTCAAGTCAATTTCCGATGTGATATGTGACTAAATGTTCTCCCAGCGCTAAAAATAACCCCACTAACAGCCTTCCCATCTTTCCTCACACTCCGGCCCTGCTTGTTTCTGCAAGTGAGAGTGAGGAAAGAATAAAGTGTCATGAAAATAGAAAGGGTGGATGTGTTAAGATCCTGCCATTCATGCCTTAGGTCCAATTTCACACCAGCTCTAAAGGGAGGATACGATACAGGGAAAGTAAGGATGAAGAAAGAGAAGTGGTCAGGAATGGCCTAGCACGTAGAGAGAGCCGCAGCACAGAGCTCTCCACCCTGAGCAACTGTAGAGGCATCACATTCTAGGGGAGGAAGTCTGGGAAGGGAGATAAAGAGGAAGCCAAAAAATTATCTTCCCTACAAGATTGCGTGGTTGTCCCTTATCTCCAAGGCCAAGTCTGTAGCCAATGCTCCCAGCCCCGAGTCAGCCTAAGAAGGCAGGGGAAGGTGGGAAAGGCAAGGTGTATGCGGTGGGGCTGTATCTTCCCTTTTGCTCATGTTCAGATGCAATCTAGGTGGATGGTGGGAAGTTGGATCAGTGATCTTTTCCTCACTGGTTCAGGTCTAAGCTGTAACCTCCTTGTGATGCCATGTCTGGTTACTTTACCTCTCCTTTCCCCTCTCCACACCCTTCCCCCGGGGCCATCCCTCCACCTCTGTTTTATTTTAATTGCAATCCTGTCTGCCTTTCTGTCATCTTGAAATTCACTTGGCCAAGCAAGTGGAGAAGATGAACATAAAAAATTCTGAATACTAAGACTAATCTATCTGAAGAGTCTTCCATTCCAGAAAGCAAGGAAAGGGGATACTGGGGCAAGGTCCCCTGGAATTAGTAATAAGAAGTCCAAACTGTCTTTTTCAGATTCTATGACTCAGTCCTCCCTCAGATGCACAGGTGTGGGCTGATGCCTGCCTTTCACAAGGACTCCCCACATCTCAGTGCAGTGGCCGCCTAGGAAAGCCCCCGGGGACAGAGCTCAACTCAGCTCCAACTACCGACTCTCTTCTTCCTTTGGCTTATTCCCTCATCCTCAAGTGGCTGGGAACACATGAATCCTAGAAGAAGAAGGTATTCGCATAGGAGGATACTCTGGTTTAAAAGTGACTAGAAGTTCAAATGATACAGCAAAGACACAAACAGGAAGTACAAAGGTATAGGGGTGCCTCTGGAGGCAGAGTCTGAAGAAAGATTTTTATGGGGAGTGGACTACTGTAGAGACCCAGGGAGTACTTTCTGTCTCTCTAACCTCTTATCTTTCTGTGCCTCTGTTTCCATCTTTAAAGATAAAGATAAGTCCAGATGTTGGGTCTCTCAGTCATAGTCCTACACTATTTTTTAATCTCACAACCCTGTCTTGCTAGTTTTTCTCATATCTGCAAGCCTAGTCATAGTCTGGCATAGTCAGGGTTATGAATATATGGTATACTATGGCATATCTTGGGCCAATGCAATGAAGTTTGATCTATTCAGATGTTGCAATAAGCAGTTGTATCTCTACTAGTGAAAAGTAAAAACTCCAGAGGGATGGAGATTGATAGCCAGCGAATCCTGAGCATTCAAAATGATCCCATGGACTGTCTCAGACTCTAGGGCTGGAACGTCCTTGGCAATCCTGTGAGAAGGATCTCAGCCATACTGCGCCACTCCAGGAGATGCTGGATCCTGGCTCCATGCTGACTCCTTGGAGCTCTGGTTAGACCAGAGGAGAAATCTGATGACCTCAGAATTCTGGGTCCATCCAAACTAGAAGCAACCTCCAACATTTTGGAAAACGCAAACATAAACTACAGGCTTACCTTCAACCCTCCCAAAATTGTTTAGACTTCCCAGACTTTATAAAGAAAATTCAGTTTGTTACAGTTTCATAAGTTGAATATTAGGCTCAAGACCCAGTCCATTCTCCTGAGACCAGCCTCTTAGAATTACATCTTCAACATGAAACCCACTCAGATACAGCCTCCCCAAATCAGGGCTTCCAAACATCACAATTGCCTGGGGAGCACTTTAAAAAAAATTTTTTTAATTGAGGTAAAATTCATATAACATAAAATTAACCATTAATTATTTTGAAGTGTATAATTCAATGGCATCTCAAACATTGACAGTGTTGTGTAACCATCATTTGTATTATCTATTTCTAAGAGATTTTCATCACCTCTGAAGGACAGTCCATATCCATTAAGAAATCACATTTGGGGAGCATTTTAAAAGTACATATTCCAAGGCCTATACCCAAGAGATTGTAATTCAGTGGACATAGGAACATTTTTCAAAACTTTCCATGTATTTCATTCCTAGATACCTACCCAAGATAAATGAAAACAATGTGTCCACACAAAAAGCTATATCTGAATGATTATGGTAGCTTTATTAATGATCATCCAAACTTGGAAATAACCTAGAAGTCTCTCTGTTATGACTGTGTTACATCCATATAATGAAACAGTACTCAGCAATTAAAAGGAACACACTTTTGATACACATACAACAAGGATGAATCTCCAGTGCATTGTGCAAAGAAAGTAATTCACTTTCCATATCATATTTCAATTTTATGACATTTTGGAAAATGCAAAGCTATGGTGACAGAGAACAAATTAGTGGTTTCCACAGTTTCAGGGACAGGGGCAGGTTTTGGGTACAAAGGGGTTATAGAAGGGAATTTGGGGAGCGGTGATGAAATAGTTAGACATCTTGATTGTGATAGCAGTAATAAGCATTCTTCAAAATGCATAGAACTTGACACCAAGAAGTTAATTTCACTATATTTAAATTTAAACATGAATTGGGAGACATTTTCAACCTCTCTGGGTGTTACAGTGTGCAACCTCCTGGGAACACCAGTGCATAGAAATGCTGGACAACCTAGTTATTCTATAACCCAGTCAAGTTGCACTTTGGACACTGAAACCTTCTAACTTACAACTATTTTTCAGGTTATTATCACACAGCATTTGGACATTTCCACAGATGAGAAGTACAAGAGTAAACCATCGTGCCCTGGAGTACGGTATGTAACCCAAGTGTGTGGCAGATCACAGGGCATGCACTTTGCTGAGGTTTTTTTGACCCTTTGTTTGTCTAAGTAAATCACCACACCAAATGTAGTGACTTTAGAGACTTCTTTAGAAATATGAATTATACTTTATCTCTTAATCAGATTAATTTTAATCAGATCAATGTGGAAGTTATTTCCATTGATAGCGATTAGAGTGCAACCTATGAATTTACCACAAAACATCATGTTTAACAACTGAACCATTATGTCTAATGATTTATTTTTAAAATCAACCCCAAACCAGCAGTTTTCATGTGATAGAGCCAATGATCCTAACCAACTCCTGTGTAGGTCATTTTGGTTATTTTCATAAAATTAGATACCTACTTTACAGAAAGGAAACAAACAGTTTACTTACTTGACCAAAATCTAAAGCATGTCAATGATGTATTTGACAATAGACTCCTCATAGAGTCCTGGATCCCTTTATTTGGGAAAATTTACAACTGTGGAAAACAAATGAATATCATGGGCAGATAGATGTACATGTGGGTAGCCAGCCTCATTAGCTGTGGAGCTATCTTTGTGCTTAATCTCACTTTGAAAAAAGAAAGTCTTCTCCTGCTGTGGCTGATCATCTACTCAAACAAGGTGACTAAATTGCAAATTGAATAAGAAATTTGTAAGAAAGAAAGAAAGGTGTCAGAAAGGAAGCAAGAAGCAGGCAATGGTTAGATTGGAAGATCGTGCTGATTTCAATTATGGAACAAAGGAAAAGAAAACAACTCCAAAGCAGAACCAAAGGACAGCCTACTGTGTCGGAGAACTTATTCGTGAGTAATGTACCCAACAAAGAGTTAACACAGAAAGTATATAAAGAATTCAGACATGTCAACACCAAAAAAAAAATCCAAATAACCTGATAAAAAATGGGCAGAGGATGTGAATAGACCTTTCTCCTAAGGAGATATCCAGGTGGCCAACAGGCACATGAAAAGATGCTCCACATCGCTAATCATCAAGGAAATACAAATCAAAACCCCAATGAGGTAAGACCTTACACCAGTCAAAATGGCCACTATCCTAAAGTCAAGAAATAACAAGTGTTGGCAAGGATGTGGAGAAATGGGAACCCTCCTACACTGCTGGTGGGAATATGTCAACTGGTGCAGCCACCATGGAAAGCAGTATTGAGGTTCCTCAAAAAACTAGAAGTAGAAATACTATAAGACCCAGTAAATCCACTTCTAGGAATTTACTGGAAGAAAACAAAATCCCTGATTCAAAAATATGTGCATCCCTACGTTTACCACCACGTTGTTTACAATAGCCAAGATATGGAGACAACTAAAGTGTCCATCAATAGATGAATGAATAAAGAAGATGTGGTACATATACACAATGAAATTTATTCAGCCATGGAAAAGAGATCCTGATATTTGTGACAACATGGATGGACCTAGAGGGTATTATGCTAGGTGAGATAAGTCAGGCAAAGAAAGACAAATACCATATGATTTCACTTATATGTGGAGTCTAAACAAAACAAATGAAAAAAAACAACAATAGACTCAAACACTAAGAAGTGACTGGTGGTTACCATGGGGAGGGGTTGGGGTAGTGGGATGAAATAGGTGAAAGGGATAAAGAGGCACAAAAGCTCAATGATAATATAAATAAGTCATGGGGATGAAAGTCCAACATAGAGAACTTAGTTAATAGTTCTGTAACATCTTTCTATGTTGACAGTAACTAGACCAGTTGGGGTGAAGATTTAATATTGTATGGAACTATGGAATCACTATGTTGTATACTTGAAACCAATATAATATTGTATATCAACTGTACTCCAATAAAAAAATGTTTTAAGTGAAAAGTCAACAAAATGAAAAAAAACCAAACCCATCTCCCTGTGAGTGAGGCAGATCCTCTCTGATGTTTCTATCCCACCAGAGTATATTTTCTAATTTGCAGTTCTCTCTGCTCTAGCCCTGGCTTCAAAATATTTTTTTGACACTATGGCGTGGCTTCCTCACCATTTCACGTGATGGCTACGGCTCCCTCTGAAGCACCCTGTTCCATTGCTTCTCTTTTTAGAGCTGCTTATGCCTGGGAGAAAATGGAGCTATAAGTGTTTCCTTTCCATTCTAAACTGGCACTTTTTGTAGTGGTGGTGGCTGTGGGTATGTGTGGGGGAGCATAGCTGAGGACTTACAGCTTGCTCCCAACAGCCTGAGATAGCACTGAGTTTTCCTATAAGCCTTCCTTGAAGTCGTGTGTTATAAATTATTTATAAATTTTATCACAACCTCCAGGAAGTAAGTTGGGCAAACCCTCCCAATGCCAGACGGCTCAGCAGACTTTTCAGTTGTTGCTACTCCATTGCACATCCCTGCTTCTATTTACCCACACCCCAAAATACACCCACCTAGAAAGTGCATAAAAAAGCTCATTATTTCACAGGTCAGTAGGCAAAAGTGTCCCCATGGAGGAGTAACTTGACCCTGCCCCAGACTGAGAAGAGTGACTTTTCCTCCACCTCTAGGTAGGAAGGAGTACGTACACCCCCAGGGAGCTAGGGTACAGCCAGGCATTCTACTCAAACACATAAAGAGATCATGAAATAAAAATGTTGGGGAATTGCACAAATTTGATAGTAAAAAATGACCCTTTGGGAAGATGGCCATGTTTATTACATAAATCAGAATTATTTTGGTTGTAAGTGACAGACCATATTTGAACTAACTTGGAGAGAGAAGGCTGTCTTTTGGCTTGTATAATCAGAAAGGACAAAGGAAAGAGTGATTCAAGGGCTTGAGACCACTTTTCCTCTCTGCCTCTTGCTTTTGCTGTTCAATGTAAGTGAAGGACATGGCAGGATTCAGTTTCACCATAAAAGAGGAAAGAATGCAACACACGTGTACATGCACACATGCATGTGTGCACACACATAGAGCCCAATCATATTAGATTTATACTGCGTATTAAAGTAATGGGGTGCATAGGAATATTTCCCCAAAAGGAGGGGGAAAGTACAGACACGGTCTCTGGGGGAATCGTTCTGAGCCAGAAACAGATTATTTTTATCTCAGGATTCCATGTATTTCCAGGCATAAGGCCTCATATTCCCAGGAATACATTTATGTCAGTTTGAGAAGTACAGACATAAGTCATATGGTATCTCAGAGGACTTCAAATTTGAGGTCTGGAGGGGAATTCCCTACTGAGGAACTTTGTTCTCCAATAAGGTATTTAGGATGCTGAGAGCTTTAGGAAGCTGTGGGAGATGAGGCAATGAGAGTTAAAAACCCATTTTAGCAAAATCTAACAGGGATGTTGGGTTATGGAAAGATAGAAAAGCATGGAAGGAATAAAATGGAGAGAGAAGGAGTCAGCATGAGGCTGAGCACTAGATTAGAAATCCCTAGTAGCGAGAAGGCCAAGGAATTCCTAAAAATTAGGAGATAGAGCATTAAATCAAAGTTGTTTGTGTTGCTGCAATATAAATCCTATGACAGAGACAAGTTAGGTGTTCTACAAAACCCATTTTCTTTTCTCCCTGGGCTCTGGACTACATCTCCCAGCCTTCCTTGCGGTTGGTTCTAGTCAGTGAAATGTGGACAGAAGTGATGTGTGTGACCCGGCCCGGGCTATGCTAACTCCCACATTATCCTCCATACTCGCCTCCCTCCTGCAGGCTAGCTGAAGGGGATCACGTGGGAGACTCCACGACCCCCAGGCAGGCTGGAGCTACTAGATAAGTGGCGCCTCAGTCTGCAAAGGACTGTGTGGATCAGGCCTCTTCCAACCTCTTGTAGACTGTAAGATGAGTAAGAAAATATCCTGTTGATGTTGTGTTTATTGCAATAGAGGCTTGTTTATTTTAACAGTTGACTTATCCTGACTAATACAAACTTCTCTCAAATCTTCAAAAAAGTATACTCCATGTACAAATGGTCTATGAGAGTGGGAGCTCTGTGGCAATCACAAAGGAGGCTAATTGAACAGGGCATGGGACAGAAACCACATTCCAGGAAAGCAGTATGTTCCATAATCTATAATTTGCAAAAAGAGAATTTCAGGGCTAGAAGTGACCATGAGACCATAAACTGCTAAGGAATTCTCAGAAGTACTGGAATGGGCTTTTATTTCTACAGAGCATGGAATAAGGAAGGTTTTAGGAAATTTTACTTGATCCAAAAGGAATGGCATGTGGATTACATTGTTATTTTAATGTGGTTCAGATGCCATGAGTGAAAAAGTTTTTGACTCACATATCTAGGGTGGAGATATAATAACTGCAAAATCCTGAAATAATATTTAAGTCACTTAGATGCTTACAGAATTACTTTACTCTGAGAAATCCCTGAAAGACAGCTGAATGGGGCCCATTCAACTCTCAGTGAAAAGAGCAGCCAGGACCTATACTTCCCTGTCCTTCCAACCTAAATTACATTCTCTCTATTTTTGTCTATTATACCATGCTGTTGTTTCCCTTTATGGCATTACTAAGATATTTATTAGGGTTTTTTTTTTTTTTTTGGAGTGTTTTCCCATTAGACTCTAAGCTTTGTAGGGAAAAAGGCTGTTTTATCCCCCAATACATACCTGGCACCTAGCACAGTACCCAGGCACACTTCATGAAATGCAGTGTTATCTGTAGTTGTGGGAGCCTCAGTCACCTGTGGACCTCAGAGAATTCACTTCCTATTTAGTTTTAAAAAGTCAAATATTTTTTAACTATCTGATCACTTGAAAATGCATTATTACCTTTCTTTATGGAAAGAACAAATGGCCTTGATCACACATGAATATGAATCATATGAGTTCTCGTACATGAATTTTACACAGCAACAGCTATGTAGGTTATTATTGTTAGTGTTATCATTGATAATATCTGCTTCTTCCTAGAAAACACATGAATCCTTTTGCCATGCGTTATAGCCTAAGCTGAGTTTCAAACTAAGAGTGTCTCTTTCCCTTCAATCCAGGCAGCAGCAATGTCAAGTAAA